CTACATGTGAAAATATTCTCTTCAAACATAAATAATTGACGTAATTTTTTAGTTTACCATATGAATATATAATAGCGTTTCTAAATTCTTCTCGTTGCTAACGGCATTTTGTTTGTTGTTTATAGATGCTTTGTTTGTAAGCAAATACGTGGATATAGATCCGACAGTATGAAGAAAAATATGGAAAAACAAAAATCCGAATATGAAATTATGCTGTTTTAATGTTGTTTCAATGTCGACGTCAGACGTTTCGGTCTAGTAGACCTTCTTCAGAACATAGTTATTAAAACATAATTAAAATTAGAGGATATTCAAGTCAACATGAAAAGACGATAGACATAAGACTAAGATGCTTTGTTTCAATAAATTCATTTCTTTTTTTTTTGCCTTGAAAATGTCCACATTGAACTAAACGCGTCGGCTAAAACTACAATTTTCCTCTTGTCTTTTTATCCCATTATATATATTGTCTACAGGTTAATTCTGAGAAATTTTTACATAAACGTCGCTATTCATATATTAACCACTAATGCTAAGGAGAGATATATGCAATTATCTTCCTTGCTCTAGTGGTATTTAAATCGAAAAAATAAAAACACTATTTAATTCATTTATTTGGGAAATGCTTCAACGGACGATGAAAAATGTGACACAAAAATTATGGAAAATGCCTTCGAAAAGCTAAACAAAGTATTAAATACGAGGAAAATTTCGTTATAAATTTTAAAAAATATATTGCGGAACTGATAATATTAAGCCCCATATACGATAGTGAATGCGAGACATTTTCCTTATAGATGAAGAGGAGACTTCAGGCAACAGAGATCCAATTCAACAAAAGAAAGCTGACAATGCCATGGACTAAACATGTTAGAAACAAGGAAATTTTAAGGAAAATGGAAACAAAAGTACGTTTGTACACTAACTGAGAAACACAGTGAAATTTCTGGAGGGGCTTGATGAAGAAAGAGGGCTTGGAGAATTCGATATCCACGGGACATATTGAAGTTAAGAAGAGCAGAGGAAAGCAGCGAGTAACCTATATAAAGGGGTGACAGAACATGGGCTGGGAGATATTGTATAATTTGACATCCTCGGAATAAATTGAAGGCAAGAAAGACAGAGGAAATCAGCGAGTAACCTATATAAAGAGCTTTTTAAAGGGATGACAGAACAAAGTCTAGGTGTTATAGTTATTAGAGTTACGAAAGATAGGATGCTGTGGAGACTAATGAACGTTCACATCCTGAAGAGGCACGGAACATAAAAGAAAATATTCCGACCCCCCGTCTGCAAAATTGCGATAAAATAAAATAAAATAAAAGTAAAGGAAATACTAGTCGAAAAAAAATCCAAGGTGCTTATAAATTTAATATTCAGTTTTTGTTCGCTGGCAACAAACAATTGGTCGGCTGTTCGAGTGGCCACACACGTTCATGGTCTCGTTATCATCGACACTAAATGTGTTCTCTCCAAACTCTGACTGACTTATTTCTTACAAGAGGTTTCTTTTTACTTTATTTTATCAGTCTTGCCGTTTCCAGATTACCCCCCCCCTTTCTGATTGTAATTACGAACAAATTTTATGCTAATTCCTCCATACCTTTGAGAAAAGTAAATACTTGAAGTGGAACAAGGGCGAGAGATTCTGAATATAAAAATTTGAAATATAGTAACTCCTCAATTAATGAATAACCCTTTTGACGACTCCGCGACTTATGTAAAGTAACATAAAATAAAAAAATATATAAAACTCCAAGAAGTCGGCATTGTACATTTTACGAATATTCTGATCTTGAAATATAGTAATTCCTCACTTAACGACTAACTCGTTTAACGACTCCACTACTTGAGACCATCTGTAAAGTTCCATAAAATAAAAATTAAAATCCAATAAGCGGTATTGTACATTGTACGAACATTTTGATCATGAAATATAGTAACGCCTTACTTAACGACTAACCCGTTTAACGACTCCGCGACTTTCGACCATCTGTAAAGTCTCATAAAATAAAAAAAAATAGGACCCCAAGTCGGTATTGTAAATTGCACTAACATTTTGATCATGAAATATAGTAACGCCTTACTTAACGACTAACCCGTTTAACGACTCCGCGACTTTCGACCATCTGTAAAGTCTCATAAAATAAAAAAAATAGGACCCCAATCGGTATTGTAAATTGCACTAACATTTTGATCATGAAATATAGTAACGCCTTACTTAACGACTAACCTGTTTAACGACTCCGCGACTTTCGACCATCTGAAAGTCTCAAAAATAAAAAAAATAGGACCCCAAGTCGGTATTGTAAATTGCACTAACATTTTGATCATCGCCTTACTTAACGACTAACCCGTTTAACGACTCACTTTCGACCATCTGTAAAAGTAGTCTCATAAAATAAAAAAATAGGACCCCAAGTCGGTATTGTAAATTGCACTAACATTTTGATCATGAAATATAGTACGCCTTACTTAACGACTAACCTGTTTAACGACT